GTGAGAATGCTTAAGATTTTTCAAATTTGTGTTTGATTTAGTCCAATTCAGTCTCCTAGGGCTGCTGAGGCAAGGATTATGGTGATTATATAGTTTTGAGTGAGTTAAGAAGAGAATGGTGATGGGAGATGGGAAATTTAATTATGTTTGCTAGAATAATAGCTGTGATTAGGGATTAAGTACTTCTGGGAATCAGAAATGGAATGGGACTGGGACTAGTCTGATTGCAATTGCTGTTGTCAATAGGGGCAGGACATTGGGTGGTTTAGTTGGCCAATGTCTCATTGGTTATGCTTCAAAAGGTGACTAATGACAAGGCGGCTGCTTGTACAAGGAATTATTTGATTATGGCTTCAATGGCTCGTGGGTGGTGGGATTTGCAGATTTGAAGATGAGTGGAATGATAGCAAGGGTGTTAATTTCCATTCCTGCTCAAGCTATGATTCAGTCGTATGATTCAGTAAGATCAGGGAGGAGATTCATTTTGCATGTTACAGTTCTACCTTCACCTTACCATATTGATTCATGTTCAGGCACATATCCTTAAGGAATGAGGCAGGCCTGCAGTGTAGATTGGTACACTGGTGCCTGTTCCATATTGAATCCTAATACTAGCTTGAATTCACCTTCCAAAGAGGCTCCCTAATGAATAGTGTGATTCTGTTTGCTACTGGCTGTAATAATCAAAGGGGCCTACAAAGTCTAGACCTTTTTGGGCTTGTATATAATTTAGGACTTTTCATTCTTCTAATGTTAAGAAGGCTACAGCAATTAGAATTGAGATATCATGGCAATAGGGATATGATAGGATATTTAAGAGCAGATGGTCAGGTCAAGAGTAGGTGTAGTGGGGAAAGAGGGGAGGTAGGGAGAGGATTTGAACCTCTAGATAAAAGGATTAAACCTTTTGCATTTGCTGAACTGTGGCATGCAAGCAGACCTTTTCTACAGCAGGGGATAGTATGGGTGCTCACTTGGTAGCTAAATTGAGTTTGTTAGTCAGAGGCAGACCTGCTTGTACTATTGGACTCACTTTTCTTGTCATTTTATAGAAGGAAAGGTTCATCACAGACAGAAACTGACCTGGATTGCTCTGGTCTGAACTGTCACATATAAGACTGTTAATGCTTGGATATGCAAATCCCTAAGAGCAGCTGCACCTTTAGGATGTCCTGATCCAACATCAAAGCTGTAAACTTCCTTGTCTGAATGGGCTCTTGGAGGAGATTGTGCTGTTCTCCCTGGGTGGCTTGGTCCATTGGTTGGCTCTACTGCTCACTCTTGTTCACTAGTAGTACTTCAAGAGGTTGCTCTTCTTCAAGATGGATGGTGTTATTTTTGGAGAATTTCTTTTTCTCCAAGGTCAGCCCAACCCAAAAATGCAGGCCAGCATTTCAGGGCAGAGAATCTGGTGGGCTTGAGCTTGTGTGTGGTGACCACCAATTTCTAGATTCCACAGGTTCTTCTCATCTTCTCCATCTATTTCTGCTTTTGCATGGAAAGGTCAAGCCCACTGAGGATCTGGAAGGGACAGAGTTAGATTTAGGGCAGGCATAACCTTCAAGACTTGGTCAGCAGACCGTGTCATGGGGCAGGACGCCCAGGGACCAGATTGTCACTGAGTGGCCATAGTAGCAGTGGAAGAGGATCCACTCCAGTGGGCTGTACTCCGATGTTCCTACAGGATGCAGGTGGAGCTCATCAGGCAGATGCTGCCCACTCCCAGACCCACACCTGGGCATCCCAGGGGATGTGGGTGCTGCACCAGTGGCTGCACACACACCTGCTGCCTTGTTGCCAGCACCTCACTCTTGCTTCCAAACTTTAGGTTGTAAAAGAAAGCCCCCAGTTCTGGAAGAGGGCAGTGGGAGCCCTGGGAAGGCTCAGCCATTACGTGCAAGGAAAACACCCACAGGCCCACTCCCGCAGCCCTTTCTCCCCACAGCTCCTACCCCTGCATTGGCCAAGAGAAAAATCCTAAGGCAGAAAAGGGGAGTAGAGCAGCCCAAGCTCTCTCGCACCTGCAAATGAAAACATCCATTGCATGGGTTTTGCAACCCCTCTCTTTGCCACCCTCCACAGGTGTTTGTTTTTGTCGGGCTGGCTCCCCCAGCACCAGTCCCAGACAGATCCTGTTCCACAAAATACATCCCCACCACTGAAGGTTTGGGTGGGAAGGGGTCAGATGTAAACCCAGTGTAGGCATGTACCTTTCGGAGGGGCTCCTGAGGAGAGAAAGGGGAGGGGAGAAAATACTCTCCTGTCTCCTGAGATTCCCTTCCCTCCTTCACTAGCCATATTCCATTCAGGAAGCACAGGGAGCCAAAGTACTCAAATTGGAACCTTGCAGGAGCCCAGCTCTGCCTGCCCATTCTAGGGGTGGGGGAAGGGGAAGAATTTGGGAAGGGCTTGAGCTGAAATGGCATTTGGTTGCTTCTGATTTCCTCGAAGCTTTCGCAACGGGGCAAGAACTCCATTCCTCCAAGCCACTCACCTTTTGAATGCCCATGCATTCAAACTGTATGGCTGGCACTTCAGAGTCACTGAAGTGGCTGCTGCAGTTTGAAACAGGAGCTCTTGTTTCATTTTCGGGTTGCTTAACCCCCTCCCAATGGCAATAAAGCAGGTAAGTAAGGATGCAAAAAGATTACCCAGGGGACCAAAAGCTTGGAAAAGGATGAAAGAACACTCTGATTACAAAAAAAAGATTTATTTTTTGACAGCAAATAAACACCCCTCCACCCCCCACTCCCTCAAATTTGCAGTTTTCTGGAATGGGCAACTTGATCAGGTTTCTTTTTCTGCCAGAGACAGAGGAGCGGATATATCACAGAATCATGGAATCATTGAATGTATTGGTGGGAAAGGACCTTAAAGATCACATTCTTTCAACTCCCTGCTGTGGGCAGGACCAGTTTTCACTAGACCAGGTTGTCCAGAGCTCCATCCAGACTGGCCTTGAATATTTTCAGGGATGGGGGACCCACAACTTCTCTGTGCAACCTTTTCCAGTGCTGCACCCTCTGTAAATGGTGGTGAGGCAGTAAAGTATTTCTTCCTAATACCTAAACTAAAGCTATTCTCTTGCAGTTTGAATACATTCCCCCTTGTCCTTTTGCTGTATGTTCCTATAAAAAGTTCCTCTCTAGCTTTCTTGTAGGCACCCTCAGGTACTGAAAGGCTGTAATTAGGTCACCCCTAAGTTGTCTCTTTTCCAGACTGAGCAAACCCATTTCAGGTTTTCCTCATGAGAGAGGTGCTGCAGCCTTCTAATAATTTTTTGTTCCTGTTCTGGACCTGCTACAATGGGTCAATGCCCTTCCAGTGATGAGGACTCAAGAGCTCGATGGAGCACTCCAGGTGGAGTCTCACTAGAGTGGAGTAGATGGGCAGAGTCACTCCCTCGACCTGCTGGACACACTGCTTTTGTTGCTGCCCAGGCAAATATCAGACATCTGCTGGGAAATCTTGTGCTTTTTTCCGCTTCTCTCCCAGCACACTCTCAGGCAGGTGGCTGTGACAGCAGAGCATGCAGGAGTCCTAGGAAGGCCTTATTTGCAATGCACCAAGTTCAACTTAACATTCCAGTGTTGTTTAGGGAAAGTGGAAGCAGGTGGAAAAGATGAACATTTTTACGACAATTTTGTATCCTGTGGGTTGATATATTTTTGTAGTTATACTGGGATTACATTGCCACAGCCACACTGATTTCCATGGAATCATTTCTTATTTGTATTCCTGTAATCAGGCCAAGAAGAATCAAATTTTCTGTTTAAACCATCTCTTCATTCAACTGTAGATTTTCATGCTCTTCTAGATGAGTTTTAGACTAACTGTACAACTGTACAGATGAGGATTGCTGAAGGTATAATGTCCTTCTCGATCATTTTCAGTTTTGCATTTCCACAGATTCAGTCTTATTCACTGCTAAGATTTGCAGCTCCCATTTATTTTGGTGAGAATTAGGAATTTCTGGCCTGGCAAAGTTCCATTCCCTGAAGGCTGTGGTAAGCAGATATAAACACATGCAGAAATTGCTGTATGACTCCAATGTCCATCTTTTGTCTATAGTATCAGTTTGCTTTCAGTTTCTTGACAAAATTAAAAAATCACAAGTAGAAAAGAGCATGAAATAGTTGTGGCAACGTATAAAACTGGGAAAGCAGTAGCATCTCCTAATTTACTGGATGAGGACTTTAACTGACCCATTCTCCTTCTGTACATTTTAAAACACCAGCTGCAAACCAGTGCAGATAGGAATCCTGTGTCTAATGATAACCAGGGCAGGGAGAAGGCGAAAGAGCAGCTCTTCCCACACTAGTGTTTGCTTTTTCTTCTTAAAGATGTGCATGCAGTTCAACATTTGTTTTCAAAAGCTTACTGGGCACATACCTATCTCCTGGCTGCTGGTCTGACAGTGTGTGTCCTTGCAGAAGGCATGCTGTCAGTCATGGCACTCAAAGGTGATTTCTTAGTTTGAAGCCAAATCTTGGCTTCAAGCAGAAAAAGGAAACCCAAGTAACTTGAATATGGTGAGAGTAAGCAAAAGTCTGCTTAATCAGAAAATCATATTATGTTTGTGAGGACATTTGGTAGCACCTTTCTTGGTAGTTACAAAGAAAAGGTGATAGGAAGCACTGTTCTGCGTAAGTCTCTCCTGCCACTGAAATGTGTTAAAAAAACTCACATAGATGTCAAAAAAAAGTAATCCCAAAAAAGTTCTGTAATTGAGGCTCAGTGAATAAGAGTAACACTATGAGTATGCTAATGTACCCAAATGACAAAAAATACAAAACTTTCTTGTCCAAGGAAATAATTTTTGGCACATGCAAGGCGACTATCATAGTTAAATGCTTCTGGAAAGGTGCTCTGAGACTCCCGTGGCTGCAGGGCAGCTGCCGGCACTGCCGGTCGCGACAACGAGCCCGACGCCGGCCGAGGGACGGCCGGGGGGCCTGGGCGGGGCCGGGGCTTGGGCGTGGCCTGGGGCAGCAGGGGCGTGGCCTGGGGCGGCGGGGGCGGGGCTGCTGTTCCGGTGCGCGGCGGCGGCAGCAGCAGCGGGATGAATGAGGTGGAGGGGCTGCGGCAGCGGCGGCTGCCCCGCCCGCAGGTCATCACCGACGACAGCCCGGCGCAGGAGGCCAAGGAGGGCAGGTGTGTCCGTGCGCGGTGCCGCCCGGCGGGGCGGGCAGAGGGCCTGCTGTGACGCTGCGACTGTGGGGCCGCGGTTGGGCCCGGCCCGAGGAATATATGCCTGGGTAGTGTGCTGGGAGGAGACGGGCTCTGCCCGCCTGGTGCGACCCGGCGAGGGAGCAGCAGATCTGGGTCAGAGTGCGCAGGGAGGAGCTGGAAGGGACTGGCTGGCTGCCCCGCGGCTGTGCGGGTTGAGGCCGCATTTCCTCTCGCGTGGCTGGAGGCACAGGTTGGTGCTGGGTACCTGCGGGTGTCAGCTTGTGGGTACCTCCAGCACATCGGCTCTCCCCAGTGCTCCTGCTTCTGCTCGAGGTGGCTGACGGTGAGGAGGGGTTGGGACAGCGCCTGCCTACCTGCTTTGCCGAGCTGCAGGAAGAGTTTTTAATAAAGGAATAAAAAAAAAAGCAAAGAAAAGCAAAGCAAAGAAAAAAAAGTTTTAATTTATGGCTGTTTTCTTTTTTTTTTTTAATATAGATCTGTTTAAGTACTGTTTATCATTTGCTAGTAAGGAGTTAACAGTTATCCCATTGTGGCTTGCACAGGTTTATTGTGGGTGTGATTAAGTCTTATATCTTGACAATAGTTTAACGACAATTCTACATATGTCTGAGACAGAATAGCCATATAAACAATCTCTTTGTTTGTGGCTAAGTTAAAAAAGATTCCATTTACTATTTTCTGTTTAGGAATTTTATAAATAAAATAGCTTCACTGTAACTAAAGGTAATAGCTGCCATAAGAAAGTGGTAGTGTTTGCCTTTCATTGAGTAAGGTAGTTGATGACTTTTAATACTTTTGTTCACCATCTTTTATGTCTCTGCTGATTTGAGTACTTTTCAGATTCTTCTGTCTGCCCTTCAGAGTCATCAGAACGAAAGACTGTCTGATGGCTTGCACATATAGTCCCTATTTTTGAAGAAGAGCATAAGCATCTCTGAGCTTGAGACTGCTCCTCCTGGCTTCAGCCTCTTTTGGTAACTGCTCAAATCAGTTGAATTTCTAGGGCTCCATCCATGATCCAGAGTATTTACAGTTCTCGTGTTCTCATGTCCTGCATGAAAACAGTGGAGGAAATTCTAGGGCCTGCCATTTTTCTGGCTGGGAGCCACACCAGAAACTCTTGAGGACAGTTGCTTTTCCCTCCAGCCCAGCAGTTCTTCTGCCAAGTGGATGAGGCAGCCTCGGCTCCTAGCTAGGGTGACCCATGGTATTGTCTTGCTAGCTTACTGTATGTCTTCAAGAGCTGGTGTAATGGCTTCGTTTTTTAGTTCACAGTGACAACTAAATTGCTATTATTATAGCTTCAGTCCTGGTAAATTGCATTATTGAGATTTGTGGCTGCAGGCCGTGTAGGATTAATTATCAGAGACATAATTAACAAAGGATTTCTGTTTTGCTTTTCACTGTTGGTGAACCTTTACTTCAGTGATTCTTTCCTGTGACTTACAGTTGTCATTATTCTATATCATGTCCTTTAATAATGATTCTGAGCAGCTGACTTGTTTTTTTTTAAATTTTTGGGCTTTACTTGAATTCTTGTGGTTTCAGCAGTGTCTAAACTAGGTCTTGCAATTTGCAGGCTTGAAGTGTGAGTTTGCTTGTCACCTTATTCTTACTGACTTTTTCCTTCATTGTTAGTTCCTTGCAAGTTTGAATGAGGATCAGAAATATGACTTTTACTGAAATCATGTATTCAGGAGTTTTAATTAAGCTGTGGTAAATGAGTTCCCAATTAAGTTGACTGTGGTAGATGAGTTCCCATTCATCTTTATCTGCTTCCTTTTGTGTGAGCTGTTCTCAGCTGTCACAAAGATGCTCAGATGTCTTCTGACAGTACTTTGAATATTAGAATATTGAGGCTTCATCTTTTGAAGGACAGTGGAAAGGTAAGGTCAACAACCAAAGTCTTTGTGTAAACTTGGGGATTGCCTTGTATCTTTACCCCATGCTCTTGGATTCCAAATGTAGGGGGAGACAGACTGGGAGGTTATTGCTTCCTCAAGACATAAGCAAGAGGTGCTGAATCATTTCGATTGATTGTAAGGGCAGTCTGGCTCTTGGGAAATATGAATAGGTCAGTGCAGGCGAAAAAGCTTGTTTGAAGCAGTTTCTCAGCCTGGTCCAGCTCAGATGGAGACAGGCTTAGTGCTGTAACACTGCTGAAGTTCAGGATGGGAATGCTGCGCTCTTGAGAGCAAGAACTAAAATTTATTTTTTAATATATTCCAGAGCAGGAATACTTGCACATGCTTATGGAAAGGAAGTAGGCTCAGGTGGTTAGTACCTTAGGGGAGCTGAGAAAAATTTGGTGACCAACAGCATCAGTGCTAACAGCACTTCTCGAAACAGGCTGAACTGTCTGTCATGGCAGGCTGTCAGCATCCTTGTGGCAGTCACCTTGTCACAGCCTGGTGGTTTGTGTGGTGGCTTGTGACAGCCCGCTGAGTGCTGTGCAGGGCTGGGGAAACTGGGGCAAGACTTCGTCTGAACTGCCTACCTCTGCTGCCAGGAGAGAGGGGCTGACAGCAATTTGCCATCAGGAAAGAGATGTGATGAATTATGAATGTTCGAATTTCTATACATTGTGCATGCAAGCACTGAGTGAATCCAGGCCTAGTTTGGACCTTGCTGTTCTAGCTGATAATCCCAGAGGTTACCTTGATGCTGATATCAGTACTACAAGTACATGTCATTAGCTCCCCAGTTGTGATATTTGTGCTCTGGGCAGTAGTTCATGTTTCCTGCTGTCTGGATGGTTGGCTAATGAAGGACAAAACAATGGAAGTGGTCCAAGGATTAGTGTGGAACCATCAAGCAGTTTGTCTTTATTTAACTGATGCTGCAAGGGAACTGGCTGGCTGGGCCAGTGAATGGTTCAGAACAGCTAAAATTGTGAGAGCTGCTTCGCTAGTTCAAGACTAGAATTTGTTGAACTTGGCTCTGTGCTTTTCTGTGTGAACACCTGATTGATTTCTCTGAACTTTTTGAGAACTGTAATGGTTTAAAACCAGCTGGGATTGAGCTCCAAATAAGATGCTTCCCTTCCCCCTGCCCTCCTTTGGTAAGAGAGGGACAAAGGCAGAAACTATGGGTTGAGATAACAATTTACACACATAATGGTGCTCACGGTTATTCCCAAGACAAGGAGGAGATGCTGGATGTTTCTGCAGCTAGTTCCCCATAGCCTCCTGAGACAAAGACAAGATGGCAGATGCTCTCTGCAGTCGGCCTTCCCAGTCCCCGAGCCCGAGACAATGAAAAACAGTGATGGACAAAACCCCCCAAAGCTGGATCATCTGTATTGTGCCATGCCGCCCGCTCCCCTCAGCTGTGTTCGCCACTTCGGAGCCACGTCTGCAGCTTGGCTGTGTTCGGCAGGATTCAGCAGTGTTTGGCTGGGCTTGGCTCGACTAGGTTCACCACTGCTCCGTTCCCTGTGACTGCTGGCACTCCTGGTGGGTGCAGTCCACTGTGCTCAGCTACGTTTACTGCCTGGAGCTGCACACTCCGGAGGGATAGAAAGGGACGGGGTCCGCAGTGCTGGTCCCAGCAAGTTCCCCGAGGAAGAAATGGAACAAAATGGCACAGGTCCAGTGTACGTTCACCTTTTTCTTTCCCCTGAAACCACACCCCCCCAGGGATGACGGAAGTGGTATAGAATAGCAACCTCACCAAACCCACATGGCTCTAGGCCCTACCCCCCTGCAACTCAGACAAGAACAAAACCTAGTCTTTTCCTGTGGAAGAACAGTTTTTACTTTTTTTTGTTGTGTGCTTTGATGGGTAAATAGAAGATACTTAATTTCTTTTGTGTGCTTGGTTTTGAGTTTCAAACCAGAGTTCACTAAGTTAAGCAACCATTCATTTAACTTTCTCTATGTTTTGTTGTTTCAGTGGAACTTTTCATTCAGAATTTGTGCTGGGATGGAAACCATTGCCAAAACTGAAGATCAAGTTTAAAAAACCCCAACCAAACAACTTCACTTCCTCTGTTTCTTGGGGATTTTTGTTTTTATTTTGGGTTTTTTTTAGTCAACTGTAACTTGTAGAATGCATGAAACCTGCACGTGAAAATGCTCTACCTCATATGATGCCAGTATGCTGACCTTTCTCTTATCCTAATGTGTTCAAATTGCACCTTGAAGGTCAAGATGGTGGTTGGGCAAAAGTGTTTCTGTTTCCTCTTCTGAAGAAAATAGGCTGCTACAGAATTTTTGAGGACTGTTGCACCTGTAAACAGCTTAACATGTTAATCCTACTTCTTGTTTGGTTTGGCAGTACTTACAGCAGCAAGGTGTTCCGTGTTACCTTCTTGACTTTGGCTGCGTCTCTGACTGTGCCGCTGCTTGGAGTAACTGTTCTACTGGATTGTCCTATAGACCCTCAGCCTATAAGGTAAACTGTTGCTTTGCTTTGAAGTAAATGTTCCTGAAGCATAACTTCTCCTATGCGTTCTGTTGTTTTGTTTCAACAAACAAGAGTTAACAGCATAAAGTGGTTCTAACTGGATTAAGAAATGGGGGAGCGATTGCGATATTACCCATACCTAGTCTGTTTCTGAGCCATCTTGTGTAGTTGTGTGTCACTACTGATCATCAAAGGAGCTGAATTACATTCTTTGATTATTAATATGGAAAATTTTCTGCTATCCAAGCTGTCAGTGGAGCTTGTGATTACACATGTGTGCTCTTGCCTTCTGTGAGACAAGAACTGCAATTTCACTAAGGACCAAGCTGTACCCCTGATATTATCATTCTGTCAGAGACTGCTTATCTGAGAATGAAAATTGAAAATGGATAACCTGACTGATTTGGTGCTTTGTATCGGGGGAATCATATGATGATGTTACGTTTAAATGCAGATCTCATAAAGCAATGCAGCTAGATGTCTGGATTCATAAACATCTGAATTGAGGTCTGTGTCACGTGTAACAGTGAATCAACTACATGAGAAGATGTGACCTGTATTGGGAGTTGTGTGTTAAATGCTTTGACAGCTACCCTAGGGTGGAGTGAGGCTAATTAGCGCTCCTGGCATTTTGAAGTAGGTAAAAGTGCTCTGTCTGATAAATATTTATGATCAACTTGATAATTGCTTAATGAAAAGGAACAACAACACTGCAAACACCTCCAAACTTGAAAGAAACTGTAAATGTGGTTGGGTGATACTTAAAAGTCTTGCCAATAGGCTAGTAGACATAAGCTACCTCAATGCATATCATAGTGAAATACTTTATACTGTGATTGGATTTAACAAACCCCAATTCCCTAAAATACATTGCAACTGAACAGTAATTTTAAAAGCCAGCTGGAATAGGTTGCCCAGAGAGATTGTGCAAAAACATGTAGGAATCTCATTGGCTAATACTGAAGTAGTAAGCCACTGGAAACTATAAGGAATAATAGGGAGAAGAAAAAAGCAGATAATGATGTGTGAAACTCCCTGTGAAATTCCTGCAACTCTGTTTTATTTCAAGGTCTTTCTCTATGAGTCTGTCTTGGATAATATTGATCCCAGGGAGTTTTTTCTGCTTGCAAACACAACTGTCCAAAGTTCCCAGCAAATGAGTTCCTTATCTGAAGCCTCTTATCCTCATCTGAAACGCACTAAGCTTGGAAGAAGGGATGGAAAACAAATTTGTGTTAGCACTGTGAAGACAATTCTCCTGTAAATCTCTTCTGGGCAGGAGCTTATAACTCAGGTGTTTTTGTCACTGCAGTAATATATACTTAAAGAAAAGTTTGCTGTCTGTAACCAGACAGATAGGAGTATGTATTTTTCTCTGTTTCTGAATAATTTGTGTTGTGAACCTGTTTTCCTCAATTGTCATGGCTTTCATAGTTTCCAGTTTCAGTTGACTTTTTTCTTCCAGTCACTAAGTCTTTAGAAAGATATGTTTCACCATATGAGCAGTAGATTTGCAACGTGATTGGTGACAAATAGGTCCTGGATTCTATGAACGTGGGTAAATTTTGGAGTCAGACCTCGTCTTTTAAAGATTTTCTGGGTGTAAGGCATTTGCTTATGGTCATATAAAGGGTTATTAAAAGAAAAAAAAATCGAAAAATTATTTCAAAACTTGGCCTGCGTATCTTTAGCATACTCCTGTGAATGAACAACTTGAAATCCTTAACTCATGGAGACTGAGGGGCTTATGTGTGAGCTTTTAAGAACTTAAGGGGCTGAAACATATTCAAGTTCAGTTAAGGCTGGTTTTGGAGTCTGGTATTTTAGTTAGAGTTGTGTAGGCATCTTACTGCTTCCCTTCTCTGTATCTCTGTAGTTGGAACCCTAGTTGGCTTGAAACTGATTGTTTATGTGAAGGGCTTGCAAGATTGGACCTTATTTTGTCATTTTGAGATTGGAGTTCAATACCCTTTAAATTCATGTGCAACTTACTCCTTTGAGTTGGTCTTTCTCTAAGGGCCTGCATTCAAGTCATGACCAAGACCATATATTTCAATATGGTATGAAAGCATGTGTGTCCTAGTGTTCAAGCTACTGGAACACTTTTCCCCCTAGCTGTAAGCTGGGGGGAAATAAGTTATTTTTTCTCTGTAATGAAAGTGCTGTACATTGTCAGGTCTGAGTGTATTGTAACATACCAGGCTTTTAATTTTTAAAACTTTTTTGCTTATGAATTTGTACATATCGACTTAGGAAAAATATTCTGGTACAAACAACTCATTCAGCTGAGAAAACTGCTATTCTTTTGTGTTATGGCAATGCACAAATCCTTTGCTTTTGTGTAAGACAGGTGAACTGTTGGAGTTGAAGATGTATAGATTTCTTAGGAACACATAACTGCAACTCTTCTGATGAGCAGAACCAGGAAATTGTGATCCTTGATGAACAAGAGTCAATATTTCAGCTTGTTAGCTGTGGATGTTTTTGAAATATGCTTTATGTAAAGCATAGGTCAGGGTTGCAGGAGTTGGCAAACTAGGGAAAAAACGATCCAATATGTTGCTCAAGAATGTTTGCATTTTGTGCAAAGCATCACGGGCTCTGTATTCTGTTTTGTAGTTTGAAGGAACCTCCCCTCCTGACGGGTGTACTAGAGCCCAATATCAAGTTACGAAAAGCTGAGCGGTTATGGGAAAACCAGCTGTATGGACCAGAGTCCATTGTCAATATTGGGGGTAAGCACTGACAAAATAAGCTTTTAAAGAAGGATCTTTAAATGTTGCTCCATTGATAAGAGTTTGTTCATCAGTATACCTCTTAGATAACAAGCTCTGTAAGTTATTTTGAATGTGCAGGTTTTTGTAAAAGTAATTGTGTTAGGCAGCAAAACCTGGCTGCAATGTACTGCTTTTCTCCTCTTTCGTGAGAATAAAATACATCTTGTTGCCAGATTAAAAATCCCTGTCCTCGACTGAAAGCATCAGCAGTGTAGTCAGGGGCTACTTATGTTTGGAGGAAGTGGTCCCATTTTTCATTTGACTAGCTCTTAACTGGGAATTAATATTTACCTGCTCTTTTAATGGTCATTGCCACTGAGGAAGCTGAGTTTTGTGGTCTTCATATTTGCTTTTATGATAGAAAACCCCTCAAATTGGTAAATAACATATTTACATTTTAGTGATGTTGCACAATATCATATCCCATATTCAAAACTCCTTCATATCCCATATTCATAACTCCTAAAACTTGAATCCTTCCTCTTCTTTTTGAATTGCAAGAAATCTAACCAACACAGGTGCCATCCTGTACTTCTCTCTCACGGAATGTGTGTTCTCCCCAAATCACAAACCCATGCCACCTCTGAGCACTTTCTTAATGAGTTATCTAGACTTCTAATGGTGTGACCCTCTTAGCAGGAACATAGCATTGTGCCTCCTGAAGGAAGGATAAGGCTAGAAACTACTCTTTACATGAGTCCTTGAGTGCTTTTTCTCTGAAAGGGAAAGGGTGTGGGAATTCCAAGCAAGGCCCTTCCTGAAAATCCTTCAGTACAAGAGGTGCTCAGTATACTTTTTTCCTTCTGCTTTATCTTCTAATAAATTAGTAAAATATTTTTAAGAAATTATTTTACCCAGTAAGAAACTACTGTAAATTCCTTCCTCAGATGACACTTTTTAGCACATTGTAAACAGATATAGGTAAAAGTGATTACCTGAAGCTATTGATTCTTTTATGTTGCCTAGTTTTGTCAATCTCATTGGAAACTCTTTAAGGAAACCTTCCTGCAAGGGTTGAAATAATCAACCTGACTGGGAATAAATGTTGGAGTCTTCTTATTCCCTTTTAAAAGTGTAATTAGCAAACCTAAAACATGAGTCAAATTAGAGATGGAAAAGTTCAAGCAATGGGCTCTACTAATCTAATGGTGTTTCATTTAGTTTGGTTGTATGGAAAAGTTTGTGTTGTTTGTATTCAGTTAATGTCTTATGCTATCACACAGCTTGGCATGAATACAGTAATTTGGCAATGCTTTTGATTTGTGTGGTTGTTCAATTGCCATAGTTTTTGTAATTCATCTCCAGAACTGATACAATACGAGCATTGGCATGTGTCCAGCAGCCAACGTGGACTGTATCCGAATGAGAAGTTTTATCTAGTCAGTCTCTCATTGAAGAGTGATAAGATAAACGCAGTGTCTGACCACATTTTGTGATGATTTAGAAATTTACCCAGATGGATCAGTCCAACGACTGGCCATTAAGTTATGTTCACCTTTAACTAAGAACTTAGACCACCTGTGGGTGAAAAGCTTCGTATTCTATATACATAACTCCCAAGGTTTAAATCCTTCCCCTTCTTCTTGAGTTGGAAGAGATCTAACCAAATGCTCTTATTTGCCTTCATTTTTTCCCCTTCCATGTATTTTTCTTTTGCTATGACTGAAGAAGTCTGTCACTTCACTGTATCTCAAACCTGAATTCTACTTCACGCTAGTAGAAGGATCACGTAGAAGGATGTTTGCCGCTGTGGTTTTGTGATCAAGCTAATCAGTTGTTTTTGCAGATATACTATTTACTGGGACAGCTGATGGGAAGATTATCAAAATTGAAGATGGGGAAATACAAACAATATCCAGAATTGGCCATGGTCCTTGTGGTGAGTGATAGCTCCTGAACATAGTGTATCTGAAAATGTCTGGGTCAAGGGTATGTGTTGCTTAAACTGTGTTCAGTCTGGATTGCTCATGCAAGTGCTTATCTTCCTCTACAGAAATTTGTAACAGAAATATTAATATGTTTGTATGAATGAAGTATGAGTGGAGATAGGTACATTGGAAGGAAGAGCAGAACAGAGGACCAAAAGAATCAGAATGGGTGCTCTTAGACAACAAAGCACAGAGTTTCCAGCAGTAAAATTTAGTAATGCGGGGGGTTTTGTGTCATGACTACAAGCCTACACTCTTGTAAAGCTGCCACATGGATGACTTGTTGGCAGAAGATCCTGCAGCACGATTCTGAGGTGAAGGGCCACCCCATAAAAACTGAGGACTCCTAAACAAGTGTGAATGAATGAACTCTGAGATAATGTGTGAGTGGGAAAGATCAACTTATTTACAGAATTTTGCCTTGCATTTTGTTGTACCTATTTCCCTTCCTCTGTTTGTAAGTACAGTGGGAATAGTGGCTGCACTTGCTTTAGCAGAGATCTTGCCTGGGTCATGATGTTTTTGTTTTCTCACTGCTAAACTGGAGTTATTTCTTGTTGAATTCTACACTTCTTTCTGAGTGACTTATTTGCTTCATTTAATGAGATTTCTGGAACTGCGTGAGAAAAACTGGCAGTGGCTTGTTTATTAACAGAACCATTTCTATGGGAAGGTTAATGTTGGCCATCTCAGTAGGGCCTGGGCAGTCTGAGAAGCCTGGCTGGTGTTCACTGGGACTGTGGGTAGTTTGTTTGCAGTAGCATTGTAGAAGCTTACCTGAGGTTCTGCAGCCCTGTGCTGGTTGACAGAAGTTATGGTCAGGAGCTGTTGCTGTCCTTATTAGCTCTCATTGACACGTTCATCATATTATCTATATAATTTTATGTGGATGTTCACATGAGTAGACTGTGGACTGATTTGGAAGCACTCTCTTGGCTGCCTGACAGGTAGGACAGCCTTGGTGCTGGCAGCCAACAAAGTCTGCTGCCAGCAATAAGAAGCTGGATTTGCAGCTGCTGCTTAGGCAAGAATGTAGATTGGGATGGGTGTGAAGAATCACCTTTCTCCTGTTCATTTACATTAGACTTGTACAGCTTGAGAGAGGCGGGAAGGTTATGCTGCTCTGTTTCTTTAGGGCCAAAGTGGTAATGGGGTGCCTGGACTTTTGTGCTCCTTGAGTTGGGGAGGGAAGTGGAAATGCTGTAGCCAACTGCCTTCTCCAGAAATTTCTCAAGCTAATTTTTCAAACTGTAGATGTTCTGAACTTCTTAGCTCTTCGGGACTCAAGTATCTCCTTGAATTTGTCTAAATTCTTCAGATTTACAGTATTCCCCTTCCTCTTCCTATAGGAGTATTCAATGTCTGTACCTTGAGAAAGCAGCTATTTCATGACAATGTTGGACCTTTCCAGAAAAAGAAAGTTTTTTTAAATTAAAAATTAATTTAATTAAAAAAAACCTAATTCCACAAACCTGCAGTAAAACTGATTCTTTCTGAGAAGAAACATTTCATTAAATTCAATTTTCTGATATTTAACCCTATTTGAGGCAGCTGTTAGCTAGTTACTAGCCTGGCAGATTATATGATTCTCTCTAGACTGGTGAAAACATGGCATGGGGATATCTGTTTCACTCACACCTAGAAAAGTAGGAATCTTTAATGAAGGTATGTGCCATATGTATGCCACAGAGATTTTTAAGCTACAGTTTGACCCAGGTGCCCACCAAGCTGCTCTATCATTCCCCTCCTTAGCAGGATGGAGGAAGAAAGGAAGACAGAAAAAAAACCTCTTAGGTTAAGATATAGACAGTTTACTGAAACAAAAGCAAAGGTCACATATGCAAGCAAACGAAAAAAAAAACCAAAACCCTCAAATGTTTTATTCTCTACTTCCCATCAGCAAATGATGTCTGACTGCTTCCTGGGAAGCAGGGCCTCGGCACATGTAGATTGCTTTGAAAGACAAATGTTGTAAATAATGAATGCCTCCCCTTCCTACTCCTTTCTCTTAGCTTTTATATCTGACCTAATACCATATGGTGTGGAATATCCCTTTGGTCAGTTTGGATCAGCTCTCTTGGTTATGTCCCCTCCCAAGATCTTGCCCAGTCCCAGCCTACTGGAGAGGGGAATGTTGGAGAGAGCATTAATGCTGTGCCAGCACTGCTCAGCAGTAGCCAAAACACTAGTCTGTTATGGACACCTTTCTAACTGCCAAAGCAAAGCACACCACTGTGAGGGCTGCTGTGGGGAAAATGAACTCCATCTTACCCAGATCCAATACACGTATGTAGGTAGCCAGAATGCCTTGTATTTATTTCTATTTGGAAAACCATTTTAAAACTGTTTCCTAAGGAACCCGCGAAGATGAGCCAACGTGTGGAAGACCACTTGGCATCAGAGTTGGGCCAAATAACACTCTTTTTGTGGCAGATGCTTATTATGGACTCTATGAAGTTGATCCTGATACAGGTATGACTTTTCTGCTCAGAAGTTCCCTTCCACTGACAAATCTGGGCTTCATTTGCAGTTTTGCCAGACACTGCAGGCCAGAAAACAATGCCTGTCTTCTTTGTAAAGTGATTTGTAGCTGTCTGGATGAAATGAGTCATGCGAGAACTTGATATTTATTTTCCTGTAGCAGTCACTTCCTCTCTGTATGTCTGTCTGGATCAGAGTTACTATAACTTGTCTTCTGGTGTTACATATTTTTGGTTGTCAAAATTGCTACCTCAGAACCCATGAATAAAACTCTGTGTAGCTGTTTCAGTTTTCATAAAAGGAAAGAAAAAAGATTGTTGTTACATAAACTTTTTGTTGTTTTTGCTGTACTTTTGTTTCTGCCTTGATCTTGCTGTGGTAGTGAAAAGCTCGTAACTTCTCTGTAACCCAAATCTACACAAAGTGAAGAAAGATGTATTTTGGTGCAGCTGAAGATGATGTGGCTTGTTCCTGCTGAGAAAGGCACTGTTGCATTGTGCTTTTCAATGTGTCCCTGAGGCAGATCTCAGGGAGCTGTTTAGGAGCTGTGCTGTCAGAAAGTGATAGTTGGTTTTGTGTAGGGTTGATTTTTCTGTCAGTTTACCTCTGCACATTGGCTTCCGGTGGGGAGAGGAAGGCTGGCCAAATGCCAGGTGAAATTTAATAGAAGGATTCAGACTGTGTTGCCCTGGGAGGGTATGATCAAGGTCTCCCATTTGGATGGCAGACAGCTGTCGTCATAGCTCAGTCATGACAAAAACAAGCATACAAACAAACCCAAACCCTGTACCTGAAGATGACTTCATTAGATTTTGGTTGATTTTTAGAGATTTGACCTTAATAATTGGCCTGGTAATATGTGGCAGAGCAGTTCAGTGGACCTGCTGATGTTTTAATGCCTAGAAAGTATTACTCTTTGTTCCTACAGGTTTATAGGGAGAGAAGGAGTAGTGATCGGCTTGCCTGCATCCTTGCCTGCATCCTGCTTGCCTGCAGGTTGGGACCTGAGTTTGCACTTTGTTTCATATGAGCTTCAGAAATGTGAAAATTTTGGCACTTATCAATAGGGAACATCATCTACTGTTTCAGTTTTTCTGGAGAGTATTTTCTCCCAGTCTTTCATGTTGAGTTGTTCCATTACAGGCCGAAACCTTATTGTTTAATGAAGAGGCAGGAATTGAAAAAAAGCAAACTGAATTTCATGTTAGTATTTACTAATTTCTAAAGCAGGACATACAAAAGCTTGTCTTGTGAGTCTTTTTTTTTGTTTCTTTTGTAACCAGGTGAAACAAAAATGCTTGTGTCAACCAAAACAGTAATTGAAGGTCAGAAGTTGTCATTTGTAAATGATCTTACAGTGACCCGGGACGGGAGGAAAATCTACTTCACTGACTCCAGTAGCAAATGGCAAAGACGAGACTACTTATTCTTGATTATGGAAGGCACAGATGATGGGCGGCAAGTATCTCTTCCCTGATGCATTTGACTTACTGTAAGCTCAGTTGTAGGAATGGACTTCACTGCTTCCTTGGTCTTCAAATTTTTTCTCCTTATAAACCACCTGTGCAAACAGTGCACTGCCCAGGAGAGGGTGAGAGAACGTGTGGATGTTGCTAAAGAGACCTGCAGCAAAATAAATGAAATTCCTCTTTTTCCTTCAAGAGGACTTGCATGGAACATCTGTTTTAAAAGTGAAGGTGTTAGCATTACCTTCAGCTCAAATCCTTCACAAATGCTGCCAGTCTCAAGTGGCTTATTATTTCTTCTGTGTTCATAAACAAAGGTTTCCTGGCTATTCTGCCTTTTTAACTTCAGTGAAGTGCATGTGAGAAAAGATGGAATGCCTGGAGAATGAAACAGACATGAATAAATATTTGTCTTAACTCAAAAATGCTTTCTTTTTAGCCTCCTTGAATATGACACAGTAACAAAAGAAGTGAAAGTCTTAATGGTGGGCCTGAGATTTCCCAATGGTGTGCAGCTCTCTCCTGCAGAAGACTTTGTCCTGGTGCAGGAGACAACCATGGCTAGAATCAGGAGGTGAGTATGACTTCACTGAATTTATTACCAATCTCTGTTTAGAGATTGTTTAAATAAATGAGTGGAATGACAGAAGAAATCCTACACTTTATTTATGCCTTGTTATAAGTGACAGAGAAGGCGGCCTTCCTCGATACTTGATTTTTTTTTTATTTTACTGTAAACATCTGGCATGCATAATCTTTCCATCGTGGGCTCCTTACACATAGTGGAGTAAGCTGACTTTTTTTCTGGTGCGAAGAGTGTGGCTGTGCTGTATTTCCCTGAACCCAAGTAATGAAAAAAACCCAACTGTTTTTTGACATGAAATAATTTTGGGACTTTTATTTGTTATTTAGGACATCTTAACTCAAGCAGTCTAATCTACTATCTATAACTTTCAGGTATTATGTATCTGGGCTGATGAAAGGTGGAGCAGATATGTTTGTTGAGAACATGCCTGGTCTTCCAGATAATATCAGGTTAAGCAGCTCTGGAGGATATTGGGTAGCTATGGCAGCTGTCCGGCACAATCCTGGATTTTCTGTGTTGGATTTCTTGGCTGAAAAACCATGGATTAAAAAGATGATATTTAAGGTAAAAAAAGAAAAATTAAAAAGAATTTTTTTAAAAAATCATCTTTAGTATAGGAATGGAAGTGCTAAATATTTGTTTTTTGTGTTTCTTCCTCTTCACAGGAAGACTTAAAAAAATGTTTAGTGTTGTGCTTAAAACTGTTGTTGCTTTCCCCAGGTAGAACAGTTCTTCATATTCATAGGTAGTAAAACAGTATATTCTGAGTTGGAAGGGACCCACAAGGATCATCTAGTCCAACTCTTAAGTGAACGGCCTCTACGGGGATCAAACACGTGACCTTGGCACTATTAGCACCATGCTCTAACTAGCTGAGCTAATCTGCATTCTGTAAAACTAACATTTGCTTCTCTGAGTAGCGGGTAAACATCTCTTAAGTTGTCTTCCATCTTGATCTCAGGAAAGAGAAGGTACTATCTCTACTCTAGCCATGCAGCAACACAGGATCTACATTTGGATATGTGAAGACTTCACCTTTGTACCTGAAGTGCCTAAAATACTTATTGGCAGGTGTCTGAGGAGCATTTGGGAAGTCTGACCTGTTCTAATGACTACCCTAGGCATCCTGGGAGACAGTGTGTATGTTATGGATGGTGTTGGGTGACATTTTGTTCTGATTCAATATGCCTTTTGTTGTGTCACACCCTGAGGATGAGGATGAGCAAGAATAAGGGCTATCTGATGCTAAAGAAACGGCATGGTGCTTTTTGAACAATACAAAGACATAAAAATACTTCTTATGTCCTTGAAAAAATAAAAATCAACAAGCAGTGTTTAGAATGGAAGTGCCATTTCAGCTAAACAAGCTCTGTGCTGTCCCTGTCTCTCCTGGTACAGTGCAGGAGCCTTAACAAAAAATGATGCTACGGGCAGCAGAGCATGATGGCTGCTTGGCATCAGCTGCACCAGAATAAGCTGATGTGTGGGCAACCTTTCAGCCTAGCTCTGGAGTAGAGTAAGCTTCTGCTGGTTGTTTTGTTTCTTTTCAAGTTGCCTTTTCACATATTAATGCGTTAACCCTGTGTAATAGTCTTTACTCAAATTGTGTGCTTATGTTCTTAGCTGCTTCTTCCAAGGAGTGTGGAATGGTCTTTGCCTGTATAAATGGCTGAGGTATAATTGTGGAGAACAAAATCTTTTGTTAATTTTCTGTTTTTTCTTTTCTTTTTCTTTTAGTTGCTGAGTCAGGAAACCGTGACAAACTTTGTGCCCAAATATAGCCTTGTTGTTGAACTTACTGAGACAGGATCCTACAGAAGAAGCTTTCATGATCCCAATGGAGTGATGGTAGCTTATGTTAGCGAGGCCCATGAACACAATGGATATCTTTACCTGGGTTCCTTCCGGTCTCCGTATATTTGCAGAATTAATCTTCAGCATGTTTAACTGTTCATCCATGATGAAGTCCCACTGTCCTATAATATTCCAGAGGTACAAAGGAAGCATATGCTTGAGGCAGTTTGTGACCAAGGACAAAAAGTGAAAGATAGTCTGTTAACATGCAGTAGCACTGTTGCCATAGGAAAACATACAGCTTGCTGTACCTGTTCTCTTCCTTGGTTTGACTGCTCATGTTTTGGAGTTGGTGTGCATAATTGTTAATATCTGAGGAGTATGGTGGGGCATCTTCATTCAGTTATTTGTTCCTCAGAGAACTCCACTGCTTTTCCATGCCCAGCCCTGCGTGGAGTCATCTTAAACAGACATCATCGTGTTGCCTTTAATGCAACTGTATGTCTTCTTACACTGGAAGGATTTGTGATGTATGGAATTTAATTATGTAATATTTGAATTGAAGATGATGGCTTGCATGTGTTTATTTCTGTTTTAGAACCTGCTGTTTAGGATTACAGTATATATTCTGATGTCATACCATGGTGCTGTGGTAGAGGCAGCAACATCCAGAAATCAACAACATGCCTAGAAATTTAGTTATACCATTGGGTTTCTTCAATTCCAACCTGTGTAAGTAACATTAGACACTACAATTAGCTGTTAATCAAAACCAAATTTCATCGTTACCTGTGGACTCCTCTGTTTCTTTATAGCATTGTGATCAGATGATGAATGAAAGCTGCATTTTCTGTGTTATTAAGGGCTAGTTCCAGCAGGTTTAAAAAGGGTCATATGTAGTATTTCTTCCATGTTTATCAGGTCCTGTAAGTCTGCTGTTGATTATCTAGAGGACCATTCCTGAGAGACATGTGAAAGAAGAGGACCAGCTGCAGGAATCCTCTTCAACATGCTTTTTATGGAGAAATGGTAAAGATTTTGGGGAAGACTGGTGTCTGGAGATGGATGTGGCCTCAAAGGGCCCCTGTGTAAAATCTAGTAATGGTGGATAAGGAAGGCTGTGGTGGAAGATTTTGGAATGCAATAGTAGCTCATGGATGCTTTCTGTCATTCCGGAGGGAATGATATACTTCCTCTGTTAACTGCTTGGTTAACTGTTACTCTGCTTGGTAAATCCAGAGAATGCTTTTCTGTCAACTGTTGAAAAGGAAAACCTGTGCCATTACATTTTGTGGCTGGAGAGGCTGGCAGCACAAAGGAATTCCAGCCACCTCAGACAGTAAGTCTTCAGAGGCTCAACTTAAATGCCTCTATGCAAATACACACAGCATGGGGAATAAGCAAGAGTTAAAGATGTGCACATGCCTGCCTGTGGTCTCATTGGCATCACAGAAATGCGGTGGCATGGCTTCTATGACTGGAGTGTTGAAAGGATACAGGATCTTGAGGAAGGACAGGCGGGGGCACTCTGTGTCAGTGACCAGCAGGAATGCATGGAGCTCTGCCTGCAGATGAATGAGGAGCTGACCGAGGGGTTAAGGGTCAGGATTAAAGAGAGAGCAGGGACAGGTGACGTTAAAGTGGGGGTCTGCTACAGGCCACCCAGCCAGGAAGACTGAGTGGATGAAACTGCCTATAGACAGGAGGGGCCACACGTTCACAGTTCCTGGTCCTCACGGGGGATTTCAATAACCCTGACATCTGTTGGAGGGACAACGCAGCAGGGCAAAAGCAGTCCAGGAGGTTCCTGGAATGCATTGACAGTAACTTCCTTCTCCAAGTGATAGAGGAGCCAAGGAGAAGTGCTATGCTGGACCTTTTGCTCACCAACAAGGAGGGCTGATGGGGAATGTGAAGCTCAAAGGGAGCCTTGGCTGCAGGGACCATGAAGTGTTGGAGTTCAAGATCCTTAGGGCAGTGAGGAGGGCCATAGCACATTGCTGCTTCCCTGGACTTCAGGAAGGCAGACTTTGGCCCCTTCAGGGATCTGGTTGGTAGAGTACAATGGGATAAAGCCCTGGAGGGAAGAAGGGCCCAAGAAAACTGGTTGATATTCAAGGGTCACCTCCTCCAGGCTCAGGAGTGATGCATCCCAACAGAGAGGAAGCTGGGCAAAAATGGCAGGAGGCCTGTGTGAATGAACAAGGAGCTCCTGGACAAACTCAAACACGAAGTGGAAGCCTACAGAGGGTGGAAGCAGGGGCAAGAAGCCTTGGAGGAATACAGAGATTGTGTAACTGGGATCAGGTTAGGAAAGCCAGAGAAAGCCTGAGAGAATTAAACCTGGCCAACAACATGAAGGGCAACAAGAAAAACTTCCATATGTATGCTGATGATAAAAGGAAGACTAGGAATAATGTGAGCCCTCACCAGAAGGAAAGGGACGACCTGTTTACTGGGACATGGCAAAGGCTGAGATACTCAACAACTTTTTTGCTTCTGTCTTCACCATCAAGTGCTCCAGCCACACTACCTGCGTTGCAGAAGGCAAAGGCAGGGACTGGGAGAATGAACCAGTCCACTGTAGGAGAAGATCAGGTTCAAGACCATCTAAGGAACATGAAGGTGCACAGGACCTGTTGAAATGCATCCATGGGTTCTGAGGGAGCTGCTGGATGAAGTGGCTAAGTCACTATCATATTTGAGAAGCTGTGGCAGTCTGGTTAAGTTCCCATCATCTAGAAAAGGGAGAAAATAACCCCCATTTAAAACAAAGGGAAAAAATGAAGAGCTAGGGCACTACAGACCAGTCAGTCTCACCTCTGCCTGGCAGGATCATGGAGCACAGAGAGACTGGAACATGTTGCCCAGAGAAGTTGTCTTGAACCCTGGAAGGGGTTCAAGGCCAGGCTGGATGGGGCTTTGAGCAACCTGTTCTAATGGAAGATGTCCCTGATGTCCCCCTAAGGTCCCTTCCAACAGCATGCATACTATGATTTTAAATAAGAGGTTTTTGCATCTTGGAGAACTAAAGGGTTCAGCAGCTGTGTGATTTAGTGCATTGATTTGTACTTTGGAACTGAAGCTTTTGCTGCTCTCTCCTTTTCTGCCACTGGGTGACAGTCAAACATGAACTTACATTATTGCTCAATTTCCTCATTTTTGAAAAGGAAGTAATTGAGACTTGCTATATATATAATGCAAAGCACCATACACGGGGAAGATGATAAAAATGTCATCCACTTTTACTGGCCTTTTATGCATCTCTCTATTAATGGAGGGCTATGCAAATGAAAAGTATTCTTTCTTGTCAGTGCTTCTGTCACCTTGTTCTGTGTTAATTTCAGGCTGCAGCAGTCCTGTGGCAAGTAGAAATGTTTATGGCTGGTGGTTGCTGGATCAGGCTGACTTCTTCCTGTACAGGCCAGGAGCTGCAAACCCTATTGCTTGATGTGGTGGTTACTCAGTTTGGGAGGGTGTTCAGTAAGATGCAAAAGAAGCTTAATAGATGAGTTTCTGCAGGCTCTGACCTTTGGTGCAGCTGAACCCTATCTTAATAGTTTGTGGACAGAGATGGAGTGATACTGTGGTAACTTTGAAAGGCTGGAGAGGTGTGACTGCTACGGGCAGACTTACTGCTCTGGGAACTCTGAAAAAGGGCTGAGAATGGGACGTGCTTGTAATGTCTCTTTTTGGGAAAGCCCAGCCCAAGGCAGGCTGTTTCAGCATCAGCTGATTAACACTGTTCTGCCAGCCCTTGGAACGATTTGTCCTCTTCTGGAGGGATGTGAAAGTTGAACTTGATGGGATCTTAAATTGGGGTTCAAAAAGCAAATCTGCTGTGGTGATTCTTTTATGCTGATGCTTTGGTACCCGAGGGGCAAGCACGGCTTTGCCTCTTGAGACATAGTTATCTCTAGTGATTCGTTTGCCAAAGTATCCATCTGGAGATTTTCTGAGAAACTTTTCCTGACTTTTGCAGTGAAGTAGACCTCCACTGTTTTGACATGCCAAATGTGATGGCTTTTGTGTGACTAATTCCCTTTTAAGACAGTTTCCCCAAAGTTATGAAGTGGGAAAGCAAATAAGTTGTAGTGCTGTTGATGCTCAAGAGGGTAAGACATATGAAAACTTGTCTCTTGGGAGTTTTTTAGTTCGGATTCTTTTTCTATTCCTCTAACCCCTCGCTCCTTCCTGGCCATTGTTGGAGATAACTTGGTACGCTGTGGTCTTGTCTTTTTTAGTTCTCTTTGAGCTTTGGAACAAGTACAGCAGACTTAGAGATCATCAAATAACTTGCTTTTCTTGTGGAAGGGGAAAAGAGAATGCCAAATATGAGTGATATTTAACAGAGTGTGACTTGGTCTGGTGTGACTTTTGAGTGCTCTAGTCCAAGCTGTAGCCATGTGTCTCAGGGGCAGGTGCAAGAAGACTAGAAATGTTTATGGCAGAACTGAAGCCCAGAAGCAACTTCCCCTAACCTGAACATAGCTAATGCCCTTATTCACTGGGGCTACTACCTTCTGAGCTCTTCTTTTAATCTTGTGATAGCAGGGAGGGTTGTTCTGCCAGGTGCCCCAGTCAGGAGAGAAGGCTGGGCACCATGAACATATTGGAGCTGTCTACACAAGAGTCTTCCAAGGGGGATCAATTTGCCTGTAAAATCCGGCAAGTCAGTGGTGAAAGTTAGTGCTTGGCATGGAAGAAGCTGAGCTAATGCCTTGGGTACTTGGGTTCTTTGTTGTCCCTGATGTCTCATGGGAGCTCAGTCACTACTTTTCCATTGTGGCTGATCGTGCAGGTTTGTTGCTGGCCAGACCTCTTCAGCTGTGAAAAGTGGGCCTCTAACCACAGCTACATTTGAAATAACTGCAGGCAGACACCCCTTTGCACTGAGAGCGGGATGTGAATTCTGGGAGTAGGGGTCAGAGGCAAGCAAGAATTTGTGCCCATGAAAGTCTTTGTAGTTTCTGATATCTTGCCCTAGCTGTCTTTCATCCACCTCAGGCAATAGAAATTTTTCATTGTTCTTGTCTGTGCTTCATTGGAAAGCAGCTGAATAACTTGTCAGTCTAAATGAGTTTGTCCAAAGGTTAAGCGTTTGGACAAAATGCGGTTTTCAGTTAAATTTCTCAGAATGAATAAAGCCTGATTGTTGAGCCTGTACAAATAGAGGGAGTTGATTGGGTAAAGTACAGTCAGTCAGCCGTACCCTTAAAAAAACATAAAGACTGCTGAAGTCTGTAAAACCCTAAATATAAACTGTGGTAGGTGGCACAATTCTAAGCAACAAACTTTCCACAGTGACAGGCTGCTTAACCAGGCCATTGGCATTCATTTGTTGTAAGAACCTTAACACTTAGTTTTATCTGAAGCTTTGTCCACATAAATAAACTGTGTTTGGCCCTGCAAGTCAGAGATCAACCTGAAGTGGAGTGGGGTGGTGGTATGTGAAACACCAAGGTCTAGGAGAAAGCCAGCATGCTTGATGCTTTCTGGTGAGAGAGATGCCTGGCCCAAGATGGCTGATGCTTCCATGGCCACTAAAATGGAAAGGAGGCCAGTTACTGTTGTGGTGACTACAACGTTGGTGGGGGACCAGAGTGGAACTGCAGAACCAAGTAGAGGTATCGTTGTGTGGTTTAAGGATATTATGACAAGTATCTGAATGCAGGGTCTGCATACCTCCAGTCCAAGGAGACCTGAAGTCTGCCGAGGCTGAAAGGAGGTGCCTTTCCTGAGAGCAGATGGTGTTGGCTCCCATTCCTGCTGCTGTGCTGGATCCTGA